ATCACATCACAAAATGTGCTTCCATGGTTTGGGACCTTTGAATAGTTAAGTTAATTTAAAGTTATTGTTGTTCTAGTTGCCACTTAGCTTTGAAATCAGCAGAAAAATGGGGAGTGAGAGAGGAAGAGATTTTCAAAATGGCCATTATTTTAAGCAACTGGAAAACATTGTAGCACATTTTTTGACAATGAGTTCAGGTTCGTTAACAATACAACGAACAAATAGTTTACATGAAGTTTTGTTTCAATTTTTTATTTTTTTTGGATTTTTAAAACTTTATTAATAACTAATGGCTTAACGTAAGAGTACAATATAAAAGCTAAAAAGTTCATTGAAAATGTGCTATGAATTTTATATGGCATATTTTATATGCGATTCTGGAAAAAAACGAACTATTTATGAAGGTGAATTTTTAAATGAGGAAAGAAAACATTTTAAATATGTTCAATAGCTTTTTAAAGGTTAAATCGAATGTTGTAAAACAAAAATAATACAACAAATGAAATTTTAAATTATGCAAATGCATATGTGGTGTATGTGTTATGGCAGCACTTATACGAGCTGTAGTTTTATTTTGTATTTCAATAAGTTATCCAATTTCATATGGAGAGTTTTCAGTTTGTTTGTGGTGTAACTGGAGATATATATGTGTCGAAAGAGTGAACACACAACTCATACCAATTATTGGAAAAAATAAAGGCCACATTATTTTATGTAATTTGGCAAAAAAAAAGTTTTTACTGAAAATGGATAACATCGACCCATGTTAGCAACACCGTCCGATTTAAGGTGTTTTCAGGTTTTCAAATGTATAAGGAGAGATAACCTTAATGGTTAAATACAATATTGTAGAACAAAACATAAACAAGATATAAACTTATATTTAAAATTATTTAAATGCATACGTGGCGTATGAGTCATGGCAATGCTCATACAAACTGCGTCTTATTTGGTATTTTGGTAAATTATGCAATTTCATACGGAGAGTTTCTAATATGATTGTGGTGTAATTGTAGACACACATTTGTGGCGTATGAGTAATATCACAACTACAACGAACTATTAGTACTGAGGAATATGAGATATATGAGTAACATAAACACTGATTCGCATCATTATAATTTATATAATTATAAATATGATATGAACCCATGGAATACTAGATTTCTGGGTCCTAGCAAATGGAGTTTATTTTCCTAACTTTATATTATTAATGTTATATTATATATTATTTATTTTGTATAAGCCAATACTTTGCGAGAGCACCGTGACGTATGAATAACGACAGTACTTATACGTACATATGATTCACAAACCTAACTCTACAGTAAGAAGGGGAGTATTCGTTGGAGACCCCAAAAAGTATATCTATTTTGACCTGCCAAATCGCCTCAGTCATCACATAACAATACCTCCCCATTTAAGGCATCCCAATTGTATTTTATGTTCTACTTATAGTTTTTCTCCTTACTTCGGAGTTTTGAAATTTTTAGTCTGAATTTTTTAATGTGATGAGAGGATTAAAAATGTTCAGCTGCTCACAGTTTTATCTTATCTTTGCCCAATTTGAATGATTTTCAAATAGTTATACGATTCGCACTCCCTCGTATTATTGTGTTCTACACGTATGAGTTATGTCGTTACTTATACCACCCAGAGGGAATAAATGTATTTCTATATTTTAATGGACAATTTAAACTATTCGTAAGAAAGTGGGAAAAGAGGAGAACTTTTATTGTCTTCTTCCTTGCCTATGGTTCTAAAATTAGATTAAGAGTATGAGACACCTTTCAGATTTTATTGAAAACGGTTCACCTCTGTCCGAAGGCTCAAAATTCGACATTAATGGCCGAAACCCTCGTAGAACAAATTCAAAATTTAGTAGATTCTTAAATATCTATAAAATAATAATTTCATAAGAAAAAATGTATCTGAAGGTCGCCATAAATTAATAAAAATGTCAAATGTGTGAGTTTGATTTCCTGGACCGATTTTGATGAAAATTTTCTTGAAGGAAGCCCAATTATTTAATTTGTTTCCGAGAAAATAAAATTTAATTGGCCCGCTTAGCAACAGAGAAAAAATTCAGGTTGTTTTTTTAGTTCAACTTTGAATAACAATATTGCAACATTGTGTCATCCCTCGATACCGTGATACTGGTAACGTAGCCCGACGTCAAGGAAGTGGACGGAAGAAAACATCAACATCAGCAGAAATGGTTCGAAAAGTAAAAACGCGACTTGATCAAATCCCGCGTCGCAGTGGCAGAAAAATGGCTCGTGAGCTGAACATATCGCAATATTCCATTCGAAAAATATTGAAAAATGAGTTCGGGGTAAAGCCATTGGAATTCCAAAAAGTGCAAGAACTTATACCGCAACATAAAGAAAATAGTCTCAAAAGAGCTAAAGAGTTACAGATTCGGTTGGCCACCAGAACTCAAGCGCCGGCCATGGTGATGATGTGGGCCGCCATAACAGGCGATGGTCGCTCTGGCATTAGAATAAATGTCGAAAAATCGCAAAAATATTCTGGAGGTTGTATTAAAGCCTTGGGCACTCAAACATTTTGGCCGCAGACCTTGGGTATTCCAACAAGATTCAACACCATCGCACTCAGCACGCGCCATGGAATGGTTATAAAATGAGGCCCCTTGCTTCATTCCCAGCGCACAATGGCCACCAACGTCTCCGTATACCAATCCGTTGGACTATTGTGTCTGGAGTATTTTGGAAAGCAAGGTTGGCACTAAAAAATACCAAAGTGCCGATCACCTTAAGCAAGTGTTTCCCCGGGAATGGGCCAAAATACCGCAGAGCAACATTCGGACAGCGTGTGACGGTTTTATTGGCCGTTTGAAGGCCAAAGGTGACCAATTCGACTAATCAAAACTTATTCTAAAATTTGATACTACTTCCGAAATTTTTTGGTTTCTGCATTTTCAATTTTCATTTTGAGAAATATTTTTTGGGGGGGGCGTATAAGCAATGACTTTACACATACGCAGTAATGTGTCATTGCCTATTCTTAATATTGCTATAATTAACTAGAATTTTGGCAGGATAGATATAAAGATTGTCATCAATCCCGAAAAAAATCTGAAAATGTTAAAATGTAAGTAACAAGTGCACACGGAAGATCAGGAATGAATCGAAAAAGGGTACATTTGAGTATGAGTAGTGTTAGTGCTTGTACGACCCATAGCAAAAATTATGAGCAAGGGTATGTTCAGCGAGGCTCATAAACAAGGCTAAAAATTTATTAAAAAAATTGGACCTTTGGGGAAGGGAAGGAGAAAATATTTGATCCTCTAATCCATAAAATCGGATTCATAAAATCTTCTAATGGCTAAAAATTCAAATTCGAAAAAAATAATTACAACATTACACGTTAAGATAAGTTCGGGAAAATTGGAAGGAATTTTTCCATAAAATGACATACGATGCTGTAGAGTTTTTTTTTTCAAACTAGAAATTAACCCTTTCAGTGTCAATGAAAATTTTTATCGAGATAAAAATCTGAAATTCCGTACTAATTTACTAAAATGTGCTCAGAAATTCGAAAACGAAACTAATAGAATAGAACTGCAATATTTTTAAATAGCGTACGTGTCTGTTATTAAAAAATATCAAAAATAACGGTTCGTAAGAAAAACAAAAAATGGCAAAGAAAGAGAGTACTTTTAAATGTCAAATATATTTGACAAAAACACTGAAAGGGTTAATGGCATTCAATGGCTGGCAACTCATATTCGCAGTAATTATTTGCAAAAAGAGCACTGCGTTCCACTTTAGGAATACTTAGGAAATTAAAAAATACGATCATTTTTTTGTTTAATGATAAGAGGTAAATAACAGTTTTGAGGTATTGTTTTTTGTTTTAAAAAATCGGTAAAGTTCTAAAAAAATAAGCAAAATCCTCTTTTATTTCTTTTTCTTCTTTTTAAAAAGGAAATATCATTCATTTTCAACTTTTAATGGCCATCAATTTATAAACGAGAAATGAAAAAGAGAAAAAAAAAACAACCCACGAAAACATTAAGAGCAAACTACTAAAGTATTTAATGTAAATGCTTATCATCACACCAACAAAAATAACAATTGTTTATGGAATATGCAACAGCAACAAGGAGAAGAAACAGGCAAAAAACGAATTGTGTTCACAATATGTTTTACACTCTTAGTTGATTGTTTTTCCCCACGATGCTGTTTAAATAATTTATTTAACACTGGAATTGATTTCGATATTGTTAAGGCGGATGTACTTCGTTGTTCTTTTTTTTTGCTGGTCTTTGTTTTCCGCAGTTGTTTTTTTTCTTTTGGAGTACGGTTTTTCCAATGTTTGCATTCTCTTATTTGCCTTGCCTTGCATGGCACAGCTCAGCTATCCGACAAAGTTGTTCAAGTGCAAATTTTATGGAGCAATAATATTTTTTAAATATTAATCGCTTCATTTTGGCAGAAAGAGGATTTTGAAAAATATTTTATAGTTTTTTTTTTTGTTGCTCGCTTTTAAGAATGGTTTATATTTTAAGCAGCTTAAAACTAAGTAAATGAAATGTATTTTTTGTGTCTTCTTTTCACTGGAATAACTAGAATATAATTCTTTCCATTTCTTGCTTTGCAGTTATAATTTTTTTTAAGTTCTCTATACAAAAGGATACTTAAGGAAATTAATAAAATATCAATAATTTGGTTTTATGGTATGCAAAACTAAAAAAAGAAATAAAACTTAAAAAAATGAGAGCAATGATATCACAGGATTGTTTTCTTATTCAAAAGAAAAAAAGGAGAAAAAAGGATTTAAAGTAGTCCATAATAGTATATGTATGAAAAAATATGCTAGCCATGATAATCAAAAATCTACATGTATCTTTAGAGTAAATCGATTATGGTTTTAGTTTTGGTTTGTTTCTATTCTTTTTTGTTTTCATTTCTTTCTGGTCTTTCTAAATTAAATAAAACCAACAAAAAAGTAATAAATTTCATGTGCAGACGTACCAAAGAGGGTAAATAGAGCATCAGGCGTGACCATCTACAGAAAAAAGAGAGAAAAATAGAGATTTAGTTAGCCAGAGTTGATGTAAAAAATTAAAAAACAAAATATAAATATAAAAAAGAGGAAAATTCTTAAAGTTATGTTTTTCTCTAGGTATTTTTCAGGTAAAGTAAGTCAATTTCAGAGAGTTTGGAAAATATAGGGGAAAATGAAAATTGTTGAAATTGACTCACTGTACCCCAGTGTGTTTTCATAGAACAAAAAAAATCCCTTACTCATAAAATAAATGTATGTTAAGTCATATGGCAAAAAATGGCCAATGATATTAACAAATGACTGGCCATAAGAGATAAACGAATGCCCGCAACACAAAGACTTAACCATAAACAAGATGTGTCAAGTAATTTTCCCAAGATCAATTCATTTACATGCTCAAATTGTAAACCATTACTTGTGCGTATAAGTAATGACGACACTCATACGCAGCATGGTGTCATTGCAATTTAATTTTATGTTAATTTTCGTTGGAAACATTCTTTGTGAAAGACAAGATATTTTTATGGGAATTTTTTTAAGGACTTTAAACATTTTTTAATGAATCTTGGATATTCAAAGTTTTTTTTGAAGAATTATCACAGGAATAATTAAGGATATTTAAAAAAGCTCAATCATGGACTTTTAGATATTTTCGAGGGAATCTTGAATATTCAAAGTTCTGTTTTTTTTTTTTTTTTTTTAATAGTAATCATAGGATTAATTTAGGATGTGTTAAAAATCTCAATCGTAGATTTTTAAGTATATATTACTATCATAGAAATAATAATTTTCAAATAAAGCTCAGTTGTGGATTTTTAAAAAAATGTTTTGAAGGGGTTTTTCGGTAAATAATAAGAGTTATAAATTATGAAGTTTTAGTTTTTTTTGTTATAAGAAATATATAAAATAACTGTACAAAAATTTTGGAGTTTTAAGTATACGTTTTAGGGCCTATCAGAGAAGTAATGCAGCATCTTTCCAAAGAAACCTCAGTTGCCGATTTAAAAATGTTGTTTGAAGGGTGTACAAGTAATGGCATTACCCATACGCAGCACGGTATCAGCGTTGAAATATCGGAGTTTTCTAAGGATATTTGCAGAGATATAGTCCCAATTGTTTTAAGAATATTTTTTTATCTATCATATAAATAATCTTAGAATGTATAATTGGTGTCAAAGGTGAAGTTTTAAAAATATCCTTTTCAAGGATGAATAAGTAAAGAAACTTCTCATGCGAAGGACGGTTATGTCCTTGGTCTGAGAAATTTTCTCTCTTTGGGATGGAATTAATTTTCAATTTTTGGGACAAATTATATTTGGAAAACTATAAACAAAATTATCGTGGAGTAGAAATAACAATTTTAGGGGAGCTATATTCGTGGATATTAAAGTATATTTTTTTAAGGAAGTATAAGTAAAGATACTACGCATATGCAGCATGGTGACATTGTTATTTCTTGATAGGCTCATTTTTTCCGCACGTGTTGAATATTTCAGAGATTTTTTTTTTTTTGAAGAACAATTATAGAGACTATCAGAAAAAAATTCTCTCTTTGGGATGAAATTAATTCTCAATTTTTCGGATATATTTTATTAAGAGGACTATACAAAATTTATCGTGGATTAGACATAACATTTTTAGGGGAGCTATATTCGTGGATATTAAAGTAATTTTTTAAGGACGTAACGTAACGACGCTACGCATAACTAGCATGGTGACATTGTTTTTCTTGATACGCTATTTTTTTCTGCATGTGTTGAATATTTCAGAGGATTTTTTTTTTGAAGGACAATTATAGGGACTATCATAGAAATAATCCTGAATTTATTAATGTAGGCTTATCAATTCTTAGAAATATAATACATAATAATAAATGACACTACTAATAGCTAGGATACTGGCATACTTTATTTCATATATCCAGAATAAATTGTGGTGTCATCCTGTGTTTTTTTTTGCCGTAGAAGCTAAATATTTCAGAGGAAAATTTTACAGGGACAACTCGTTCCAGAGAACGCTTCGTTCTAGATACTTTTCAAAAATTACACTGAATTTTGAAGAGCATTATTTTCACCCTATATTTTTCAAGATTATTTTTTTGAGGACTATCAGATAAATAATCCTAGATTTTTATAAAAAATGGAGGTGGTATAAGTAATGATACTCTTCATATGCATACTTTATTCTTGAAATATGAAGTTCTTTCTATTAAGGTGGAATAGGAGGTACATTTAAAAATTGCCGCCGATTTTGAAAGAAAATTTTGATGGAGAGTAATATTGGCGAATTTTTTAAATTATTATTTCAAGACTTTTTAAATTGTTTTAGAATATTTTTTTGAGGACTGCCAGAGGAATTGTCTTGGATATTTTAACAAACCAAATCGTGTGTTTATTAAATGTTTACTTGAAGGACTATCCAGATTATTACCGTGGTATTTGTCAGCATATTTTTCAGGACGGTCAAAACCATACATATGGATTTTTAAAAAAACAATTTTAAGGGTTGTCATGGCCACACTCGTATGTTTTTTTTTAACATTTATAAGAATTAAAGCCTAAATCCTATATTAAAAAGATATATATTAAAATATTGAACTAAACAATAGAAAGTGTTTTAAGGACAGCTATATTCGCAGATTGTTAAGAATATTATGTTAAGACATTTTATGTTTTTTTATGAAAATCTTTGAAGATTTTTTGGCAAAACGAAATCGTTGTTTTTTTTTAATATTATTTTGAAGGACTATCAAGTTCATAATCGTAGATTTTGGTTTTTAGGATTGTCAAAGTCCTTGTGGAATTTTAAGTTCCCAATCGTGGGCTTTTTTTAGAATATTTCAAATGACTATCTAAATTAAAATCCCGAATTCTCCAAGAATATTTTTAAAGGACTATAAACATTTAATCAGAGAAATATTTTTTTAAGGGCTCATTAGTGGATTTTCAAAGACTATTTTTAAAGAATATGAAACATGTGATCGTGGATTTAAAAAAAATGTTTCAAAAAACAACAATTGTGAACTTTTTTAAAAATATTTTAAGGATATTCAAACATATAATTATGAAATTTAAATGATTTTTAAGAGTATCAGTAATTTTTGAAACTCATTATTGGAAAGCTATTTTTATACTCACTGAGATTTTCTAATGGGCGTAGGAGAATTGTCATTACGTACATCAATAATTGAAACGTATAAAATATGCGGAGCGCATGACATGAAAGAATCAATATTGATTTCTTAAAATCAGCATTCTCGACAAAAATATCTCCCTATACTTGGAGCGTATGAGTGTTGCCATTACTTATACCCAACAATGCAATATTAAAAAACTTCAAATTTTACAGCAATAATTGAATTGATCTAGGAAACTTGATTGAAAATTAATTTTTGTAATTAAACACCTTTTTTTCGCGGCACAAAGTTTGCCTCATTGTGTGCAATGTTAATTACACGGGAGCAGGCAAACTTATTTTTCGTTTATTAAATAATTACAAAAAAAGCCCATGAATAAATTGACATTGTGAAACTCAGAGAAAAAGTGAGAAATAAATATAGCATGAAATTTGAAATGTTCGATTGATGGTATATAGTTTGGCCAAAGCAAAACAAAAAAACAAACGAAAAAAATGGAATGATGAAATTAAATTCAATTAGAAATGTGAGAAAAATAAAAATGAAATGCATACACACGTCGCTATATGAAGTTAAATTAAAAATTATAATTTTTTTCTCGATATAATTGAAAGTTGCAACAAATTTATAGGATATTTAATTTTTTTGTATGTTAAATAATTTTTTATTTTTTACAAATAGTTTGTAATTTTTAAAAGTTTATGAGTTGTTTATACTCCATAGCTAATAATATTTTTAATTAATTGATAACAATACGGATAGGGTTTTTGAGGAAATTTGTAAATGCTTTACACTGTTTGAAATACAGTTTGCGTATAAATATTGAGTAAGTATACAAAACAAATTGTAAATTAAAAAAATGATAAATAAATAAAAAAAAAAAAAATAAAATAAATAAATATTTTGCTCACAATTGTCCGAAAAAATTTATTTATTTTTCGTAAATTTCGAGAAAGCGTAAAAACTAACCAAAGATTTTTTTATGACGACAGAACCAGAACATGGTTCATGGCCTCAGCAGAATACGCAGACTTATTAGCAACAGTGTAAATAGCTACTTAATAATCGATAGAAAAAATATTTCATTTTATTTTGTTAAAAATATACTAAAAAGATTACTATTATTTATTATTACGAGGATTTGTATCTAAAAATACGACATTACTTTAAAAATTAACAATAATTTATATTTCAAAATGCTGTTTTGTACTAACCTCCTCATTTAGATTTGAAACAAGCAAGACATTCGAGAAACCACGCAATGCAGGAGCAGCTGTCTGGAGGGCGCCACTGTTGGCCAGGGCAAAGGCGCCTAGATTTGGTATGCCGCTGCTGTAGCCACCGGCCAATGGTGTGCCGATGCCCAATGCAAATGGTGGCAACACTCCGGGTGCACCAAGACCATTCACTGTTTACATTGTTGTTTTAGAATAGAAAAGTGGAAATAAAAAGAGAAAATTAAATTTATTAAGAATGTAAATTTTAATATTAGAAAATATATATTTTTATTAACATTGCTAAATGATTTATTATTACAATCTATTGTATTTAAGAGTTTTTTTAGCATCCAAAATGTATTGATATTTTTTTTTTTTTTTTTTTTTTTGGAAACAAGATGCACATGTTATGTTATGTTCTAGTTGGGGGGTTAGTAAATAAATATTCAAAATGGTTATGTTGGCAAAATAACAAAAAACAATTGAATTTAATTATTTATTTCTTATTTTAAAGCAAGCTTAAGAAAACGAAAAATGTAGAATTAGATTTAAAACATAAAAAACCCAAAGGGAAAAAACGAAAAGGAAAGTTTAAGTGTTACCTATTTTATCACCTGTTAGAGAGGGCCGTTGACGGGCCGCAATCAATAGCAAATCACTTGCATTCACTAGACCGCCAGCGGTGGGCATAATGTCGGCGCCCGGTTCACCCGGTGGCAATGAGGGATTTGTAAAATCACGTGACTTATCATTATTGTATTTGACATTGAGCGTTGTCATTTTACTGTTGTCAATGCGCAGCGTACAACAGCCATTGTAGATATTCTGCCCGTCCAATATGGTTTTGGCGTGCTGGGCCGAATGGGCATCCGGATATTGTATGAGGGCCTAGAAAACAAAGAATAAAGAAAGAAAATGTAAAGTGAACGAGTAAGTTATGCTATTTAAAGGAATGATACATTTGTGAGGAATTTATTAAAAAATTAATATAAATTAAAAAAATGAAATTTTAATGAAAAAATCGTATAAATTAGTAAATCAAACACAAAAAAAAAAAAAAAAAAAATCAGTCTGTTTTCCCGACAGATGTATATCATCAGCCAATGTCCGTTTATTTAAATACATAAATATTACAACGTGTCAGATTTGGACTATATCCTCACATTATGAAGGATATGTTTCTTGGAAAATGTGGACTGAGGTATTGCCCTTCATTAAATATTTTTAGAAAAAAGGTGTGGGCCGATAAATTTCATACAGGGTGAGATGAAACAACGGCAACCAACTTCAGACTGCTGTTATTTCTAAGCCGCTCGTCCGATAGCTGATAAAATTATTCCAGTGACAGCTCATTATATTGTTTACAAGCGTACAAAAGCATTTTCGTGAGAATTTTCCAGAAAAAATTTATTTGTGATGGGATTCAAGCGTGATAGTGTGATTTCTTTATATTTGGCTGGAAACCACAAGTGGCTATCGTTGGAGCACTCCAGCATTTAAATGTGAATAAATTTTGTGTGTCTCGTACCATCGCTTGTTACCGTGATATTGGTAGCGTAGCCCGACGTCAAGGAAGTGGACGGAAGAAAACAGCGACATCAGCAGAAATGGTTCGAAAAGTGAAGAAGCAAGTTGATCGAAACCCGTGTCGCAGTGAACGAAAAATGGCTCGTGAGGTAAACATATCGCAATATTCCATTCGGCAATCATTGAAAAATGAGCTCGCGGTAAAGCCATTGAATTTCCAAAAAGTGCAAGAACTTACACCGCAACAGAAAGAAAATAGACTCAAAAGAGCTAAATAGGTGCTTCGCTTGGCCGAAAGTGCTGAACTGGCGAATTTGGTTTTCTCCGATGAGAAAACATTCGTTGTCCAGCAGTTTGTAAACAAACTGCCAAAAAGGTCAGCTGATAATGCGCACATTCGGTTGGCCACCAGAACTCAAACACCGGCCATGGTGATGGTGTGGGCCGCCATAACTGCGGATGGTCGCTCTCCGCTCGTACTAATCGACTGTGGCATCAGAATAAATGCCGATAATTATAGCGTTAATATTTTGGAGGGTGTATCAAAGCCTTGGGCTTTACCGCAGACCATGGAAATTCCAACAGGACTAAGCACGCGCCAATAATTGTTACCAAATGAGGTTCCTCGCTTCATTTCCAGCGCACAATGGCCACCAAAATCTCCGGATATCAATCAGTTGGACTATTGTGTCTGGAGTATTTTGGAAAGCAAGGTGGACACTAAAAAATACCAAAGTGTCGATCACCTTAAGCAAGCGCTTCGCTGGGAATGGGCCAAAATACCGCGGAGCAACATTCGGGCAGCGTGTGACTGTTTCATTGGCCGTTTGAAGGCCATAATTCGTGCCAAAGGTGACCAATTCGAGCAAATCTAAACTTATTCTAAAATTTGATGTTATTTCCGATATTTTGCGCTTTCATTTAATAAAATTAAAAAAAAAAAAAATAAAATAAATAAAAAATAAAAAATATGGCGTTTGGCTTTGTTGCAGTTTTTTTTTTATCTCACCCTCTATAATATATATTCTTCGAAATGTTTCTTAAAAACAAATAGTTTTTCACTTACCTGGAATGTATTGTTCTTCGTAAAGGTGACAATTTTCAAAACCTTGCCGAAACGCTGGAATATCTGATGTAAAATATCCAACGAGACTGGATACAATTGAGATTCGACAATGACGCGCAACACTGTATTCGGGCCACCGGCTGAATTGGCATTGCCGCCCGTTAATGAATTCACAGCGTTGGTATTGTTCTGTAAGACAGCAACAGCTGTACTATCGGCATTGGTGGCACTATTTGCATTGGCAGCGCCGCACAAGGGCAATGGAGAACCGGAGGCCGGGGACTGTATGCGGTATTCACATGGTACCAAAGCACCCTGGAAAGAGAACAAACAAAAATGGAAAAACATAAATTTAAATTTACATAAAAAATTTAGAAAAACAAGGATTAGATTTTTCTTTCGCTTTTGTTTTGTGTGGAGGAAAACAGAGCAGCATTTCATGTTTTTGGCAGCTTCAATGAAAAAAAAGCATTTCGTTGTAATGTTTACTTAAAAGCTTAATCTACTTTTCCAAGTGATTTCATCATTTCCTAGATTTTTTAAAGGCGAGGTTTCCCACACCATCCTCTGTAGAACAATGTAGATATTAGCACTGGAAAACAGCAGCAGCGAAAAAAAAAACTTTTATTTGTTTTGTGCGGTCAAGTCAAGAAAAAGTTTATTTAAGGATTATAAGGGTCCTGTTCCTCCTTTCGTTCAAACAAAAAACCCGGAGCAAAGTTTTCTTTGTCTTTGCCAAAGTTTCGATTTTTTGATTCGGCCAAAAAGAAAAAAAAAATTTTTTGAAAATTTGAGACATGCCTCCTACTCCAGGAGACGAGTCGAGAGTGGCTTCATAAGAAATTCCATAATCACAGCATGGCGCCATGTTGATGTGGCACAACAGGAATAGGAAACAAATCAATCACACCTCAATATTGATTTAAAGGCGGCATGCTGGTAAGGTATCTTGTCTGCCATAGAATCCAGGAGAGGGGGCAGGTGAGAGCAATGAATAAGACATACGAAAAATCGTGTCCCTTGATCGGAAAACAATTTAATGGAAAACGGAAGTTAAGTTATTCCCCATTGCGTGTGTTGATTTTCCAAACGCCTCCGCAGCCGGAAAATGGTGTCAAACTGTTAAACTTTAAGGTGAACTTGACAGAGAAACCACGTACCAGCCATCGGGTGTTAGCAGAAAGTAAACATTCCAACCTACACACGCACGCTTGTACTCACATACACACTTAGAATTCAAGGTATGACAAAATGAACGCATGAAGAACATATTACCCAAGCGTGTGATTCCCGTTTTACGCACAGACATGATGGCGCCAGGAATTGAAGCTTGAAAATAAATAAACACTAGAACAGAAAAGGACGGACGAACAGGCAGACAACCATCCAGCTAAGCAGCTTTGAACTGTGATAAAGGATCCCAAGTCCTTTCTTGAGTGTGGTGACAACGAACAACGCAGCTCATGCCAAGGCAGAGTGATACAAAAGTGTCAGTGAGAGAGAAAAAACAAAAATTGTACGTGATGTGTTTATGTAAAAATCTCAAAACTTGCTAAAAACACACAAACGTACAGAGAAAAGCTTGGAGACATAGAGACAAACGACCAAATCTCACAAGGAATGAAAGGGGATGGTAGTTGGAACGATGAAAATGATAGAACTTCCTCGTGGCTTTAACTTTTCGTGAAATGTTGTTCTTTCCGTTGAAGCAATAATAAAAATTGATTAGAATTGCAAAAGAGATGACAACGGCAACAACAACAACAACAACACCATCAACAAACGAAAATCGTTGACAGCGCTGAGATAACAATGCGAGATTGTTGTTGCTGCTGGCTGCTTCTCCAATATTTACCTGTCTTGGCATTTTTTTTCTGCACGCCTTCGTTTTTCTATTTTTGCCGTTTTGTTGTATCATCTTCTTCGGACCATAAATGCATCCGCAAGGATTCATTTCGTTGGCATTCGCCATACATTTTGTGTGTGTGTGTGGTTGTGTATGTGCATGATAAAACATGGCAAATTGTTTGGCCACAAACATACGTCCGCCTTATTCGTTTTTCCATTTCGCAAGACAACCGAACATAACGAACGCGTAATACAATAAAAATGGATGATTTCATCTTCGGGGGATTCAATTATGTTTTGGAAAGCTTGAACGGCACACTATTGGGAGTGAAGGCAACGGGGAGATTTGGAATTCAAGGAAGATTTAAAATTGGAAAAACTAGGAAATACAAAGCAATGAAACATTTCTTCCGTGACTCGAAAGGGCCAAATTATTATTTTTACAAACAACCTGAAACCATTTAGCAAAGGTGTACTTTTGGTAACTTCTTAAGATATGGTAAAAAGCGCCTTTTTAACGCGATCATAATTCTAAAAGTGTCAAAGGAAGAAATATTCAATGTATCATTACACTACAAATTTAAAAATTTCCCGTATATCTATACTTCAAGTGAAAATTAGGTTTCCATACTTATTTTTATTTTATTTATTTATTTTTATTTTTTATTTATTTTTATTTTTTTGTTGGAAAGTGTCGAAGGAAGAATTATTAGGGGTCAAATTTCATTGTGAATCTCCGAAGAAAGGATATGAGCATACCATATATGGATCATTAAAAAATATCATTAATTTTGGTTGATAAAAAAATCGCTTTTTAAAAAATGTAGCACTTTTCCGATCAATTTTTCCTCGGCCTTGTTCGAATTGATCCATGAAAGCAATGTTAAAGTCCGATTGTCTTCAAATTACACACATCCCATTATTTCCACTAACACAAGATTTGCTGTGAAGATGGGTTATACCGGTCCACTCCTTGTGGTACCTCCCCCACAAAGGGTCAAAATTTTAAATAACCATAAAGCTCAAAAATCGAAAAATTAACATCCGATTCCATTGAGACTTGGTACTCTCAATATTTCAATCAAAATCAGATATGTTTTAAAGATGATAGAGATCGGACCATTTCATCTGGTGCCTCCTCCACGAAAGGTCATAGTTTTGAATACCCAAAGCGATGGTAAAATCCGAAATAAGCATCCGGTTCTCTTCATATTTCACACATCCCACTATTTCTACCAACACGAGAGGGGGTATATCGGTCCAACTGTTCCGGTACCCCACCCCACACATATTTCCTTACACAAAATCTGTTGTGAAGATGATATACAGGGTGATATGAAAAAAAACTGCAACCAACTTAAGACTGCTGTCATTTCTAAGCCACTCGTCCGACAGCTGTACAAATTATACCAGTGACAGCTCATTTTATTGTTTACAAGCGTAAAAAATTATTTTTGTGAGAATTTTCCAGAAAAGAGTTATTCGTGGTGAAATTCAGCAACATCAGGAGAAAAAGTTGTGAACTGCCGAATTTGGTTTTCTCTGATGAGAAAACATTCGTTCTCCAGCAGTTTGTAAACAAAGAAACTGATCGTGTTTACTTGCCAAAGAAGTCAGCTGAAATTGTACACCTTCGGTTGGCCACCAGAACTCAAGCGCCGACTCCACGGTGATGGCGTGGGCTGCCATAACAGCCGATGGTCGCTCTCCGTTCGTATTAATCGACCGTGGCATCAGAATAAATGCCGAATATTATCGCGAAAATATTCTGGAGTGTGTATTAAAGCCTTGGGCACGCAAACATTTTGGCCGCAGACCTTGGACATTCCAACAGGACTCAGCACGCGCCACCCAATAATGGTTACAAAATGAGATTCCTCGCTTTTTTTCCAGCGCCCAATGGCCACAATAATCTCCGGATACCAATCCGTTGGACTATTGTGTCTGGTGAATTTTGGAAAACAAGGCTGGCACTAAAAAATACCAAAATGTCGATCACCTCAAGCAAGCGCTTCGCCGGGAATGGGCCAAAATACCGCAGAGCTACATTCGGGCAGCGTGTGATGGTTTGATTGGCCGTTTGAAGACCATAATTCCTGCCAAAGGTGACTAATTTGAACAAATCCAAACTTATCCAAAAATGTGATGCTATTTCCGAAATTTTTTGTTTTCATTTAATCAAATTAAAAAAAAGTTAAAATTATGGCATTTAACTTTGTTGCAGTTTTTTATATCTCCCTGTATATCGATCCAATCGTTCTTGTACCTCCCCCACATAGGTGTAAGATTTTGTAAAAGCTAAAACGCTAAAAGAAAGCGAAAAAAGTATCCGAGTGTTTTCAAATTTCACACATATTTACTTACACAAGATCTGTTAAGAAAATGATGTATATCTTCGAACCCCTTCTGGAACCTCACAATTTTCAGAACTTTTATCTTTCATAACTTGTGAAACAAGTCAGCGATTCCTTGCTTATCTAAATGTTCCTCTCAACCAGAAACCTGAGATGAATATAAAATATATGATTTCCCATAAAACTGGATATAAGTGTTCGATTTTTTTTCACTTGGCCAATACCAATAGTTTTATCTGTATTAATCTCATACTTCATAAAAATGAAATACTTCGGTCTGGTCTGGTAAGTCAGGCACATTTTTACATTTTCTAAATATTATTACATATCTCAAATAAAGTAAAGAAAGTAACCAGTATAGCCCATACCTGGCACGTCGCAATAGTTATATCATATTTATTAAAGTCCGATATGAAATGGACAATATTGGCCAATTTCTTCGGAATCTACTCCATAGGGCGTCCAAAATTTGAATAATCATAAAAGAAGTCAATATATATTTAAATAATCGAACATTGGCTGAGCGTATACATCTATTGGCAAAACTGACTGATACTTTTTAACTTGTCTTAGCTTTATTTCCATAGTCCGCAAAAATTTTAAGTAATTATTGAAAAAAAATTAATTTTGTCGGAAAGTGTATTTTTTAAAATTAAAAAAAATAAAAAAAAATAAAAAAAAAAAAAAATTTAAAATTAAAATTAAAAAAAAAAAGAAATATTTTTGGAATCTAAGGAATTTTTATCCTACTAAAAACCTACTATAACTCATGTCATAAATTGAGAAATAGAAGAAAACTTTCTGGAAAAATTGTGTTTCCCTAATTTCTGTATTAAAACATTAGCCAAGTGATTATTTATTCACCTGTTTCGTTTTTCTTTTTTTTTTTATTTTCAACAATATTAATATTACTTTATTTTCTTCAATAACACATCTATGACATGTCATAACTTGAGCTCATAATGTTTTCATAGGAAAAAGAGGCACTGGGAATGTTTTTTTGCATTTTCCATGAGAATGAAAAAGAAATACCTGAGAGATTTACTGTCATAGTTAAGTTAATGGTTTAAAGCTAATGTTAAAAGCATTTATTTTTTGAAATAATATTTTCTT